GCGTTTAAAATTCCAGGTTCAAATCCCAAGTCCTCTGCTCGCCTTAGGACCACCAAGGACCCTCTTCTTTATTCGCTTTAAAATAAGACTCTGCAACTCTGTGCATCGCCTGTATAATAACAATTAAAATATTTTTTAAAAAATAACAAAATGAGAAGCAGAGTTCCACATAAGCCTATTGTGAGTACTGCATATATCTAAGCCGCCAAGAGACTACCCATACAACCTCTCCCCACCACTGTCATTATCTTATCCTTATTTCCAACAGGAGGTTTGTGTAACCGGAGGGGGGGGGGGTATTGGTAGGACACAGGAATCCCCTCTCCAAATCATTGAGCTCTGGGCTTCTTAGGGTGGTAACTTGCCCTACCTGCCTATCCCCTGCTCTCCTGGAGTGTTCAAAATGTCCTTTTAGTGGCTCCAAACGTCTGAGAAGCTTGACAGACTCCGACCTTTTGTAGAGTTACAAATTCAACTTGCTGGTTTCCGTGTCATTCAGAAGGAAGCTCAGGTTTGGAGCCCCTGGTGAGGTCACTCAACTGCCAAATTCCTCCCGGGTTGGAGAGTCCCACACAGTGCCACTGTCCCCACAGCTGGGCAAGGGGTGGGAGTAAGGGTTTGTGGCAGCTTGGATTAAAGAAGATGGTTCTGACTCTGTCCTTCCCTTGGAAAGAAATAAGACAGTTCTGACTTTCCCACCGTTTAAGGACCCTCAATCCCAAAGTTCTGCCTCAGAGCTCCAGTCCTGAGCCACCAGAACCCAGCAGCTCCCAAGTACCAGGCAGAGTTCCTCATAGTCATTCGTTTGTTCATTCATTGGTTCCATCACCAACTTGTTCAACCGATATTCTCTGAACAATGCACCTAGGATACAGTGGTCTGGGATTGCCTCCTAGCAAGGAGATAGACAATTAATCCTATGCACGTGAGAGACTGTGTTTCATCATCGCTGGGCTGGTAAAGGAAACCTCTCTCTGAGGAAGGGAAATTCAGACTAAGGCTGGGAAACAAACATTTTCTTGCCTCTTCCCTGTTCCCCTAGCATGAGTGCCCCCTTGTCCTGGGAAGGAGAAAACTGTTTCTGGGGAGCTGCCTGGGAGAAGTCAAGGTGAGAAAAGTGCAGATCACTGGGGATAAGGGCACAAGACCTGAAGCCAGGCCCGCGCTCACCCCCCTTAGTTACCTCCCCCAGTAAGGAGTGAAGTAGTGGGGCTGCTGAGACACCTCCTGGCCTATTAAAGGGCCTGCAGAGAGGTAGACAGCAACCCGGGGAGCATTGGCTAAAGGAGAGACACTGCCTGGGGAGCAGAGCCCAGGGCCAGAGTTAGGCTTCAGCATCCTCCGGGTGACTGGCTGAAAAGCCTTCTTACGGAGGAGCTGGGCAGTATGGCGAGGCTTCTCACTCACAGGAGGGATGGCTGATGGACAAATGGCTGAATTCATGATTTTACACTCCTCAGCATCTGCGCTGGCAAACCCAAAGGCATTTCCTAGCCCACAGGCATACGCTTTTCCTTCCTTGTTGCATTCCTAAGGTAGAATGTAGACGGTAGAGGGCTCCAGACTAGAGGGCAAGTTGGAGAGATCCCAGTGAGTGCACCCAATGCTGTGCTTAGAATGTCCAATATTTGAATCCCAGATGGACAAGAAAAGGTTAAATGAGGCAGTACTAAAGCAGGCCATCAAAGCTCAGGTGAGGAGTGGTGACTGGCAGCTTTGGAGTGCACCTGGCCCTTGGAATACCACGTGACCACAACTATCCCCCCCCATTTCTGCTGCCCCCCTCCTTTGTAGGTTAGGAATCAGATGGGAGGGGAAGTGGAAGATTGACCACCACCATCTTGGTGTCTGTGGACAGCTTCTGGGCTCTAGAGACTGGAGTAGAATGTTTCCTAATGATGCCTTGACAGAAGTGAGTCTCTACGCCTTGGGAGTCACATAGCATTTTCATTCATTCATTTAACACACATTTTATGAGCAACTGTGTTGTGCCAACCATTGTGGTATATACAACAGGTCTGTTTCCTGGTAGGAGAGAACTCACTGTTCTCAGGACCTTGGCCTGAGGGACCAGCAGGCTGGCTATTAACATTTTGATTTTGGAAGGGGAGGTGAATGAGCAACTGGTTATCCTTGGCTAGTAGAATCTCAAAACTCTTGGAACTCTGTTCTGTGCTGGAAACTTGGAAGGAGTCAAGAGGCCAGGGATCTAAAACTCCAGCCTGCGTATTTTGTTCTACAAATATTTGTGGGGTACCATGATCTAGGAGGAAAACCCAAAAGGGTTGAGAATAAAGTTGGACAACTATGAGGTCCTGGATGGTGAGCAGACAAATGAAGGCATCTACCTAGACTACCTAGAAAATCCCAGTAGAACCCCAAGTCACCAGCCAGATAAAAGCATAGGATTGATAGTGGTAACTTCAGGTAGAGAGAACCTGGGGTAGAACTTGGTTCTAGAAATCAAAGCAACTTTGACTAGTTAGGAGCATTTAGGGTGGTGGCAGGCTCCATCACCCTTTTGGTTGGAAAGTGATTTAGTTTTGATTAGTAGTAGTATTAAGTAGTGTACAAAGAGCTTTCAATTCCGTAGGTCAGGTTATAAGTACAATGCATCTTGATTAATGTCAGCTGATATAGGTTTTTGGTTTGTTTTCAGTGATTTAGTTCCATCCACGGAGACTCTGTCTGCCCATGACAAAATGGGTATGAGAGGACAGGCATGTGCCGCCATATTGATGTGGCTTCTGGCACAACAAAGGCACAGTAAATGCACTAGTTTTAGATCTGCTGGCCAGAGATGGGGGACCTTGACCGGCAGCAAGGGAGGAGTTTGTGCCTCGGCGCCCCTGGCTTGGTTTGGGAAATATCTTTATTAACGAGCACTTCAAGGTAAGCCAAGATGGAAACCAGATGTAGGATTGCACAGTCGGCAGTGAGCAGATACCGAGGGGTGGGGTGAGGCAGAGATGGGTCCAGATGTCGGAGGTAGGTGCACAACCTCCAGGTATTTTCTCTGGGGCACCATGGGTGCTAGAAGTCTCCATCCTGGATATTCCTGGTTTAAAGCACCTAGGTCCTCTTGCCTCATGCTTACCCTCCCTCCAGGTAAGTTTTGCACCTAGGGGGATTTCCTTCTGATTTAAGGAGATTGCTCTTAGTGGTCTTCCATCAAAGTCATTCCACAGCTGGATGCCAGTTTTCTCCTTGGGTCTTGATGTTTAGGCTCAGCTTCCCAAGTCCATTGAGGCTCCCAGGAGGGACAACTTTCCTATAAGCTATTTTTGACTATGTGACCTCCGCTAGGAGTTACAGCCTCTCTGAGCCTTGGTTTGCTGGTTGGAAAATTGTAGAATCAATCTCCATGACTCAAACTTGTGAGATGCAAGGACTTAGCTATGTGAATAGAGAGATCTGGACAGGTAGTCCATCTTTCTTTTTCTTGCTGTGTGTCAGTTGGTCCAGGGGTCCAGAGACCACATGAGGGGGAAATCACAAACCATCAAATCCAAGCCATGGAAGTGGTGATGCATGCCTGTAATCCCAACACACTAGTGGTGGACGTAAGGAGGCTTGCCAGTTCAAGGCAAGTCCGGGCCATCTAGTAGAAACAAAACAAACAAACAAAAAACACACCCTCATTTCAAACAACAAAATAAGAAAAAGAAGACATCCAAGCTTCCTGTTTTACAATGGGAAGGAGTGAGTTCCTTACCTTCCTCAAGCTGTGGCAGGTGACAGACGAACGATCAGGCAGGACTAGTGTTTCTGGACTCCCTACGCTGAACCTGACCTTGCAGGAAACCCACCTGGCCATGCTCAGAAGAGAGGCTCAACCCCACTGGGCCTGGGCAAGAGAGGAGTGGGCAGCACCCTGAGCCAGTTGAAACAGCCCTAGCTGGGGGTGGGGAGTGGGGACCAGCCAGTGGCTCAGTTCCACACAGCCAACCGCACTGGTATGGATACCGGTGCTGAGAAATAGTTTAAAAAGACGAGAAAGGTGCTGAAGATGCCAAAGTTCTTGTGTTCATTTCGAAAGGCAATGTTGGAAGGAAACAGAGGCAAAGGTGCCGTCAAGCCGCAGCCCGGGGCTGGGGAGTTTGAGCACATGCATCCAAAACTCCCGCTCATTCCCAAGCGCTACTCCCAATGTCGAATTAGTCTCGTTTGTATTAGTTTCTTCACTCTTTCTTCTCTTAACCTGTCAAGGCAATTTGCATCCCGGCTCCCCCACCCCACCCCACCCCACACTAGGCCAGAACTCAGATCTCCTATCAATTTGAAGCCCAGAGTCCTGCGAGTCTCAGCACCTCGGATCCCCAGCCTAGAATCCAAGAGGCCCTCAAGCACCCCCCAGGGGTTGAGTCCCGCCCCCCCTTCCATTTGCCAGTTAGTGCGAGTAGCATCTCCTTAAGAGAGGAAAGGAGGGGCAGGGAGGGTGGAAAGGGGAGGAGGGAGGCAAGGGAGAAGGAGGGAAGCAGGAAGGAGCAAGTCAGAAAAAGAAATCACTTTTTTTTTCCCCTTCCGTCTGAAAACCTTAAGAGGGTTTGGGAGATCTGGTCAACTTTCCGAAACATCTGAATCTTTTTACAGCTCGTGGTTCTTTCCCTGGACCAGCTGTGTGGAGGGAGCAGAGAAGTGGAGAGAGGGGAGAAGAGGGGAGGGAGAGAGAGAAGAGAAAAGAGAGAAGAGAAGAGGGGAGGGAGAGAGAGGAAAGGAGAGAAGAGAGAGAAGAAGGGGGAGGAGAGAGGAGAGGAGAGAAAGGAGACAGAGAGAGGAGGGGAGAGGGGAGAGAAGGAAGGAGAGAGAAGAGAGGGGAGAGGAAGAAGAGGAGAGGAGAAAAAGGAGAGGAGAAAGGAGAAGAGGAGAGAAAGGCAAGAGGGGAGAAAGGAGAGAAAAGAGACAGAAGGGTGCAGAGAGGGGAGAGAAGAGGCGGGAGGAGGGGGGAGAGCGGGAGGCGTAGCGGGGAGGGGAGGGGAGACCGCGGGCAGGCCCGCAGCCACCGCCTCCCGCCTGCCTCCCTCTCGGAGCTCCGGGCCAAGGCGCGCGGTGGCGTCCTCGCGCCCTCGCCGGCGCCCCCGCCCGTCGCCCGCGCGGGCCCGGCATGAACGCTGAGACTTGCGTCTCGTACTGCGACTCGCCCGCAGCTGCCATGGACGCCTACTACAGCCCGGTGTCGCAGAGCCGGGAGGGTTCGTCGCCTTTTAGGGGATTTCCCGGGGGCGACAAGTTCGGTACAACTTTCTTGTCGGCCGCAGCCAAAGGCCAGGGATTCGGGGATGCCAAGAGCCGGGCCCGCTACGGCGGCGGCGCGGGGCAGCAGGACCTGGCGGCACCCCTAGTCGAGAGCGGCGCCGGGGCGCGGGGCTCCTTTAATAAGTTCCAGCCCCAGCCACCGACCCCGCAACCCCAGCCGCCGCCGCCGCCCCCGCAGCCCCAGCCGCCGCCGCCGCCGCCGCCGCAACCGCATCTCTACTTGCAGCGGGGCGCCTGTAAGACACCCCCAGACGGCAGCCTCAAACTCCCGGAGGGCAGCAGCGGCCACAACGCGGCCTTGCAGGTCCCCTGCTACGGTGAGTGCGCGTGCGGGCCACCTGGGGCGGATGGGGGGGGGGTCCGCGCCTCCGACAGCCCCCCCACCCCACCCCATCCCCTGAAACCCACTCGGGTTGAGAAAGTTAGTGGGGATCGCGGGCTAGGAGGCTCCGGGGCCGGCCGTGGGGACTGCGGGAGGGAAAGTGAGGATGGGAGATGTGGAAGGGGTCGCGGGGAGGGGGGGGGCGTCCCGATCTCCTTCCGAAGTTCCCCCCGACACACACCCCACCCCGACCCGGGTCCCGAACGCTCTGGCGGTTACACTTTGTCCTGAAGTTGCTTTCCTTGGGTCTCTCTTCGCGCTTTGCCCAAACCGATCCGTTTTACGCTGCCCCGCGGGGCCCGATTGGAAGTGGAGGCTGCGTCCTGGTTCCCGGCGTGCGGCTTGGGAAGAGGCGCCGAGCCGCGCGCCGCCGGGACGGACGCGGGGCTCCCGAACGGGCGGAGGACTCGCTCCACGCCTGCCGGCCCGCCCGCCCGCCCGCCCCCCCGGGCTCCTGGGTTTAAAGAGGGTCGCAGGTGCGGAGCCCTGCGCGGAGTCCGCTCGGAGCGCGCGTCTCGCGGGGCGAGCGCTGGAAGTCGGGGAACCACAGAAGCGCCGGTCGGGAGAGCCTGGGGGTGCTCCCCACGACAACTCCAGGAGTCGGAAAGCGCGGCTCTCCGAGGGGACGACAGCCCGCCACACTTTGCGGGAGCTTCTTCCCCGGGCGATCTTTGGGAACCGCGGGCTTCGGAACAATAGTTTAGGAAGAACCGGGGCCGGAAAGTAGGAAGCTGTGGTCGCTTGACTGTGGGAAGATGGAAAGGGTCGGGTCTTGTCTTGGGACCACAAGGAAAAGGAGGCTGTTGGCCTAAATGACCTCCAAGCCCCCTTGAGTGCGGGACGTTAGGCCTGGGTCTCTAGAGCTCAGCGACCATTTACCTTGGAGAGAAGCACTCAAGAGCCGAAGCCTAAGCCTTCTCTTCCTCCACAGAATTGGGGTTGGGGTTGGGGGCTCCCAAGAGGAGAGGAGTAACCTTCCAGTTAGGAACATCGCCTGGGTGCAATAATGTCGTCCACCCCTTCATCCCCAGGGCTTGGCCTTAAAGCAGGTCCGTAGGGAGGTGAGCCGATCCTTGACAGGATGATAGATTTGTGCTGGCCTAAGCTGGAAGTAGAGATGGTGGGCAGGCCTGGAAACTGGGGTGAGACACGGTGGAGGACTTCTTGGCCAGAGGATTCTTAGGAAAATAGCCCATGGCGCCTACATGCACTTTTTCACATTCACGTTTGCAAGCTTAGAATGAGCTAATAGGTGGTCTTAGACACACGACGACTTAGACAGCCATACAGTTATTTGTCTACATTTGTGTTCTACACATATCCCTCTTCTTCGTGATAAAACATGATTACAGTCCAAGTAGACACAATTAGGTGGCCTCAGATAAATTATGCACTCCCAAACCTACAGAGTAAGTTTGGAAAGATCTGGTAGGCTTTTCCCACTTCCTCTACCTTTTCCTGCCCACCTCCAGCCTAGAGTGAGGGCAGGCACTCAGATGGCCAACACTCACAGCTCCACACAGCCTCTCCTTCCGTGTTCAAATTCAGGAGCCCAGGCCCTGACATTGGGCTCCTAGGTGAGAGCCGTTCCTAGATTTGGGGACTTCAGAGGTACATTACACAAAAACAGGGACTCATGTGTTTTCTCTCTCGCACCACACGCTGCTGCATTTTCATATTTTAAAGAAACTCAAAACTGTGGTGAGCCTCTGAGGAAGCTGAGAGATAGTCAGTCAGACAGACAGACAGAGGGGGACCAGCTCCCAAAGTTCCTGGTCACGAAGATGCCTTCAGAGCCAGAGGGAAAGGCTGGGCACCCCCTCCGACCTCCTGGGTCCTCCTGGCCAAACTAGCCCATCCTTGTACTTGTCTTAGCCATCAGGGCTGAGGGAAAAGGCTAGCCACTTGACCTAAGGCTGCCCCTAACCTCCAGTGTGACCCCAGAGCAAGTAACCCCTCTAAACTCCCATTTCCTCACTGGTATTAGGGCAATAATAGAAAGGTCTCACTGGGTCGTAAATGTCTCAGGGGGAGCTCCTTCCTCCACAGTTCACTTCCCTAGCTCTCTGCTGTTTGGAATGGCCAATTCAGAACACAAGGCAGGGCCTTCCTTGCTGCCTGTTTCTGCTTGGACAAAGTCAGAAAGCTGTAGGTTAGAAGGGAAGGTAGACCCCTAGACCTGGCGGGACCCCCACTTGTCTGCTGCCTAAAATGGAGGCTCAAGGCAAAACATGATCAATGAATGACAAATCATTCCCCTCCTTTCCCTTCTCAACAAGAGTTTGTTTACCTGCCCTCTAGGAGATTTCTGATTCATGTAGGGAATGGCTTAGACTCATTGGGTTCAAGATGGACAAACTGAGGTACGAAGAGGCAGGGACAGGCTCTGGACTTTACAAGACTGAGGCTGTGGAATTACTTTTCTAGTCTGCCAGCAAGCAGGGAAACTGAGGTGGACTTTGACAATAGTTCTGTGCCACAATTCTGAGTAGTCTGGGGTTCAAGAAAAATCCTACGATGTTCCCCAGAGGTTGGGGAAAAGGCAGAGGCCAGATTTTGGCCTTGGCTCTGGGCCTGGCCTTGGCTCATCCAGACCCCCACCACAGGCCTCTCAGACCCGGAGAACCCTTGCGGCTCAGAGCTGCTCCAGTTGGAGGGGAGGCTGGAAGGCCTGAGCTCCAGCTCCTTTCAGCTTCTATGCCACTCCTGGTGTCCAGACACACACGTCAGTGGGAAGTGCGGACCAGGAGGCCGGGCCAGGGCTGCCCTCATGGAAGTCTTTGACCAGGTCTTCTCTGGGTTGCCCAAAGAGATAAGAGAAAACCTCGGTGGGTGCAGACGTTCCTACCCCATCCTGGGCCTCCGTTTTCATAGCTCAAGGTGACTTTAGGAGTGCGGGGGGGGGGGAGACATCTGTTTACAAAAGAGCCCCCTACCTGGTGGTGTGCGGGGAATTCCTACCCAAACTGGACCCTTCTCTTCAGTCTCCCTAAGCCCCTGCCGGCGCTTGGGGTGTGGGTGTGTGGGTCTCCTGAGCTGTGCCAAATTGAAGATTCAATGTTTCTCAGCGACGCTGGAAAGCCTCCCTGTCCCATCTAGGGACACCTCGCCTCCAAATCCTAGGCTTCGCTCGAGGAGGGGGGTGCGCGGTGCGGGGCAGCTGCGGGGAGGAGGGAATCCCCCATCTCCTCTTTCACTTTCGGTTCGGTGCACGCAGGTTTTCGTGGGAAACCGAGAGCCACCTCCCATCCCACCCCACCCGCACCGGCGCAGCGGGCTCGGCGCCCGGGGCTGGGGAGACCCAGCCTGGCCAGAACCCCTCCGATGCCGCTGCCACCGAGGGGCGCATCCTGATTTTTCGAATTAGACGCAATGTTCAATGTTAAGGATATTTTTCCTCTACCTCAATAGGATCCATACACCACGAAATGTGTACGCTCCTCCGGGGTCTGGAATTTAGTCTAAGAACGGGGACTTTATCATCGATATTATTTTGCATAAAAGAGATCCCCGCCCCCGAAAATAAAAATAAAAGAGAACCGGAGATTTGGGGGACACACAGTATGAGCCCTCGTGTGATTGTGGGTGCGAAAAGGAAACTCTCGAACCTGGGCACAGAAGTGTAGGTGCTCCAAGGCAGAGACGTCACGGCCAATTTTAGGGGGGAGATGCTTTTTTTTAATGTTTAATTTTCTTAATTTCCTTAGCCACCAGCTTGCCCCTAACAATCTGGCCAACACCCATAACGCTTTTTAAGTAGAAAAACAGAAAGCTTGGATCAGAAGTCTAGATGATTTGAAATCAATCGACTCCTACGAATTTTCTCTACTTTAATGCACGTTATAGTAAAGGCTTGGATTAAAAGTCGAGATTATTTTCAATCAGTACGTAAAGGCTTGGATTTAAAGTGGAGATTATTTTCAATCAGCAGGCTTGCTCGAGTCTTCTTTATTTTAATTTACATATTAAAGGTAATTGAGGAAAGAAAACTCTCAAATGAAAGAATTATTCGGAACGTGTGTAACCTACACTAGTAGAAGCTGGTTCAAGATTTGTTTTAAAAAATCGACATGAAACTTGGGGATATATATATATATATATACATATTTATAGCAAATGGTTTTAAGGTGCTTTCAGGGAACGTTTGGAGTGCGGGGATGGGTTTTGCGCCTCGAGGTCGAAGCCTTCCCACTCCGGACGGCGTGCGCGGTATGGGTTCTAAGCCCATGTCACAACCCGCACTAGATTCCAAGAACCTGGAGGTGAAGGTGGGGACCCCCGGAGCCATCGGAGCCCGAGCTAGAGATTATGACACGCTCTGTGGGTGGAACCTACGTTACACATCCTAAGTAGAACCTCGCCAAAGTTCTCCAAGGGCTTCGGTTGGGTGGACCCGCTGGGCGCCCTTTTGCGGACGTTACCTTTCATTCTCCTTTATGGGGGAAGCTTCGCCCGGCCTTGTTTGGGAAGATCGCCTTAAAATTGGAAAAGGGGGGAGAGGGGAGGGAAGAGAGCCGAAGAGAGCGAGCGAGCGGCCTTAGCTGCGGCGGCGGCTGAGATGGGGGGGAGAAGGTGTGCGGCCGGTGCGCAGGACCCGCACCCGGGTTCGGGTTCGGGTTCTCCGGCTAACCCCTGGGATCTGAAGACAGAAGGCCGAGAGAGGAGGAGGCTTCCCTCCGCCCTAAACCCCGAAGGCTCTGCGGGCGCGAGCGTGGAATGCGGTAGCCGGGAGGCCGAGCCCAGCAGCGCTGCCCAGCGCTTCCCGGTCCTTCCCAGCCGAAGCTATCTAGGCGGGATTGAGGGTGAAAGCCTGATGCGGAAAGTTGAAGGGATCGAGAACCCCCTACCAGCCTCAGAGCTCAGCCCCGAAGACCCCCCTGCGCAGAAAGCCCCACGAACTCGGGCGCAGACCCCGTCTGGGTGGGGCAGGGAGGG